TCTCTCTCACTCTCTCTCTCTCTCTCTCTCTCTCACTCTCTCTCTCTCTCACTCTCACACACACACACACACACACACACAGACTGCTCCCAGCTAAGACATCTGCGTTATAGCATATTGAATAGATAAAAAAAGAATTAAGTCAAGGGTTAGCGGTTAACAGCATGAAAAGGTTTAAGCTCTTGAAGTCAAGCTTCTCAAGAAGTAGCAGTGACCATCGGTAACATGTCTCTCAGGTACACAGGCCTGTACATTAAAAGAAATACTCCAGAAATGTGCAGATACACAGATACAATACAATTATACGTTTTCTACGCATCCAAAAAGTGACACAGTGTTTTTGGTCAGCACAACTTTTCATTTCTTTTTTTTTTGGTTGTCTGTTCATCTCATCCTCTTGAACGAAATATCTCAAAAAGGCCTCAAGGGAATTTGTAAAAAAAATTTGGCACAAATGTCCACTTGGACTCAACGATGAACTGATTGGAATTTGGTGGTCAAAGGTCAAGGTTACTGTGACCCCAAAGAACATGTTTTTGGCCATAACTCAAGAATTCATTGGCTAATTATGACAAACTTTTACACGTCTAACAGGATAAAATAATGAAGTGATGAAATGATAAATGTTCCATTCGCAGTCTCCCTGCATCATGTGACAGAGCCACTGTGGCCTTCAATGATGCACCGGGTCAAAGGGCACCACAGAACACAATTAATCAGTGTTAATTTTATTAGCATGTTACTTTTTCTGTGATTAATCAAAATTAATGCGTTATTTTGACAGCCCTGAAAATAAGTAAAAAGACTAAATGAAATAAAAGGCAGATTAAGAGTAACTCAACACTGCCTGAAATATCTTGTGTTTGCTGACCTCTGCTAGTTTAACTGCTTACCTTGATGCAGTGATGTACAGGTGTATTCCAGGACATGGGGACATCACTGTTGGGTGTGATTACAGCTGATTTGAAACTTTCAACCAGAGAGGACAGAGAAACTGCTGCTTCTCAGTCTGGTGTAAAGTCATTCTTTTATGTAGTTACTGGCAGGAAAAATTCATTAAACTATGAGTGTTATTATTGTTTTGAAAGAATGAATGTGGCTCATGAGCACAGGTGAAGAGTCAGTGGACATAAAGAGGAGAGAAAACACAAGCAGCCTGCACTGAGCAGAGTTTGTTTGGACCTGGACATTGTTCAAGTCTGAGTTGTTATCTGCAACAGAAACCATTTATGCAGCCTCAGAGACACAACCAAGTACGATACCACAAGACAAGCTTCCTGTGTGGGGCTCCAAGGAAAAGGCCGGGCCCCAGCAAAGGGCGCAGTCTCAGGCAGTGGCCTGGATCACCTACAGTGTGCCATGAGCCCAGGCTGCAGTTATCAGTCACTTTGAAGCGGAGGGATTTTTTTTCCATGAGAAACAGCTGATAAAATGAGATGAAGAAGAAGTTAGAGCTTTAAAATGCAGTGAGGTGCTTTCACACCTGATCCACTGGGTTTAAGTTCTGACTGACTGGCTTGATTGGTTCAGTTCATTTAGTCTGGTGTTACTTAAACTCTGGTATGGTGACCAAGTCTGCCTGACAGGGAGGTGCTTGATCCATCCATGCTCCGTGGTGTTCAAGCTGTACACAGCCCATGCCCGACAAAGTCCACAACTTTTAAGCATGTGCACAACCCCGCCTTAGAGCGACACCAATATCACCTTAAGCTCTCTTTGACATGTGCGGTCTGATACACACAATAAACACATTATTACACACATTACATTTGTCGGTTATTATGTTGCAGATACGTCATAATTTTATGTTGAAACAGTGCTGTGGTTAACAAGTGGTTTAGGTAAAAAAAAAACACTAATGGTTAAAAAAGATCAAGGTTTGTCTTAAAATATCTGGTTTTGGGAGCACAGTCTGTGCTAGAAAAGCAGCCGACAGTAGCTTAATCACAGCCCGTGTTGTTGTTTGTTGGTCTTGAACAGTGGTCTGCAGCTTGGTAGCCGTCTCTAGGTGTCGCGCCATTTACCATCCCCTCTTCTTTCTGATCAGAATAAGTTTGTATACTATGTCAGCGTAGGAACGTTGATATGATACGTATGAAATGTACAAATGTAACGTATCAGTGGTGCTGAAACATACAATGCTAACATGTTCCTCTGGCAAGTAGGCTGGCTGCGGACAATGATGCCCACAAATATCATTACCAGCTATCCATTGATTACATAGAAGCATGATGTAGTAGAGAACATTGCCCCATCAGTCACTTCATCCTGGCACCTGGCCCGATCAACTGTGTGTGTGTTTGCGACCTTTTGGATGTGCAGAAGAAGACAGAACATTAGTTAGCATTAGATTCTGACCAACCTTGGCCGATCCTTTCAGTGTGTTTGGAAATTCAAATACTTAATGACAATAGGCTGCTGTGCTGCATGTGTACATGTGCACAGCACCAGCAGAAACGATGTGTGTGAAAGGCACTCATTGTTTCTGCTGGACGTCTCTACAATAATGTTCCCTCATCAGCTAAAAGAGGTTGAAAAAGCTCAGTAGAGATGCAGGATTGTTTGTAGGTTTGTCAGTATGAGCAACATCACACTGTATTGTTTGGTGCAACTTTAAAGGTGCAAAGGGTGTGTGCAGATTTTAGGTCATTGAGGTATTCAGGGCTTTTCAGCCATGCTAGCGATGGCAATGCCAGTCTGTTGGTTGGTGAAATATCTCAACAATTAGAATGGATCGGTGTGGAATTTGGTGCAGACATTCATGTTCCCCTGAGGATGAACCCCTCTGACTTTGGTGATCGTCTGACTCTTCCTCTAGTGCTCTCATAAGATTAAGATTTGTGGTTATGAGTTAAATATGCCAACCAACTGTTGGATGGATTGGGATGAAATCTGTCACTTCAAGTCAAGCAGTTTGTTGTGAGTCACTGTGCTGTGCAGTGTACTTCAGGGGATATATTGGTCCCCAAATTTCGCTGTGGAGTGAGTGCTCTTGACTTTCACACCGCTCTTTGGTACAAACACCTGTGAACGTGCTGCAGTGCCATCAAGGAGGAGAAACCTTCCACCGTAAGGCTCTGAGATAACATTATCTTCTCTCTTCTGCAAAAAATGTTGTTGCACATTTCCAATCCATCGTTAGCACTGAATGCGCTGACATGAAGGTCACTGTCACAATAAACCGCTATGCTCAACAACATGGGTGGAGTCAAACATGTGAGAGACCCCTGGAGAGACGGAGACTACTTGCTCCCTGCTGTAGCAACTCGAATTCAGCCAGTGCTAACACGCTAACCCAGCACCAGGGGTCACAGCGGGCTGGTGGCCAGCAGCAGGGCAGGGTCTTACCTGTGTTGTGGCAGCTACAGAAGCTTCCAGATGCAGTGGGGAGTCAGGGTTTGTGCTGGCTAAATTGGGGTTGCTAAATGAAGGTCTGTCTCCTGAGCTGCTGTTTGCTGTCCTCCCAGCTAAGTTGTCCCATAGGAGGGGAGTGAGGTGGAGGGACATGGGGTGCAGTACAGTCCGTCTCCGAGAAATGTGACGGACACATCATCTTGGAAAAAAGCATGATGACTTTATGTGTTATCATGGCGCCACACTGCTTTTGTTGCCAAGTCCCCCTCACAGCTCCACATTCAGGGGTATGTGGACACTGGGGGGAAGCTGACCAGGAGCCATGTATGCCCGAATTCCTTTGTCCTCCTTCTGGTTCTGCGGTGGTTGAGCAGAGCACATCCTGGGTCAGACGGGCTTCCTGAAGGCGAGAGTCAAGCCGTGGTCCACAGACCATGTTGTAGAGCCAGATGGAGGCAGGAGGTCTGTGGGGTCTGTGCCCACTGTGACTGTCCTCCAGTTTCCACACACCTCTATGTGGAGCCTCCAACTTGATCTGCAGACCTTGGCTCTCCTCTCACCTGCTATGACAGCCTTTCCAGTCCTGGGAAAACCTCCAGCTTGCTCCGTAGGCCCTGGCTTGACTCTCAGCTGCTATGACAGCCTTTCCAGTCCCGGTAAAACCTCCAGCGTGCTTCCTTGGTCCTGGCTTGACTCTCAGCTGCCTGGCTCTGTCAACAGCCTGTAAGAAGCCTCAACACCAGCCACACTGACCCAGGCTGTGCTCTGCTCGTCCACCAGACAACTAAGAAGTTTATTTGCAATATCCTTATTTATTTACATGGAGGCATTAATATATCCCATATTATGGTTATTACAAATAAACTGATGTTGTATGTTTTCAAGGCTGCAGGGTTCATAATTTAGTCCTTCATGCAGTATTGATGTCCACCTTCAGGTGGCGCTGTTGAGTAAATCAAACAGCAAGGGTCGTGCTCTGTGCTCAGAATTAAATGCTTGACCCCGCCCACAATGATGCTGCAAATATCTGCAGAACTAATGGCATCAGCCTCACCTGGACTCTGTATTTACTGATAACTAGCTAATGTTAGAATGCTAACATGTAATCTGAGGAAGAGCATCACGCTCGAAACGTCACGCAAAATAAAAAATTGAATACGGAAGCTCTTTTGGTGTGTGGATCGCTTTTTTTCTTTTTTCAGCATGCTAACACGCCACATTAAGATGGTGAACATTATACCTGCTAAGCATCCTCATGTTAGCATTGATACTGTGAGCGTGTTAGCATGCTAATGGGTGATAGAAGTGAGACAGTTTTGTGCTGAAAGCAGTGATAGACAATTTAGTTACAGAAAAATTAAGATGTAAATAAATGTGTTTTTTATGTGACACAATATTTTACATAAAATGTAATTTTGAGAGCTTTGTTTCCACCTAAAGATTAAACTAATAAAAATGGTCATTCATGAAATCATTCAGAATCACTTATTACTGAGAATTGTAGTTCTGTGGAACTGATACATGTCTAAAGGATTTTCTTCTTCCACCTCTGCAGCAGAGTATGCGGACCAGGGGGAGGAGTGGACAGCTGGGAGGTGTTTCCTCCAGAAACAAGCCTGCACCTCCCTACATGGCTGTAGGACTCGTGTGTTTTGCGTGCAGTGGGTGCGGACGCAGAGCAGCAGACCTGTAAGTGACTCTTTACTTCTGTACATGAATGGAAAACAAACGGCAGTACAGAATTATTATTATCAGTTTATTCTGAAATGCATAAAGACTGTGCACCATTGTGTTTGTTACCTGACTCACCTTTACATCTGCACAGTGGGGTTTGTTTTAGAGGCTGATGTGCATCTAAGTCGTTTAGACTCAGAGCTGCTGTGGGACGGACTTTGCTTCTTTATCACCTTTACTTCCATCACCTTAATTCAAACTGAGGTTCTTTTTCAGTTCAGACTGGAGCTTTTGATGCAAGAAAAGATTCAAATTAGGATCAAATACAGTTGTTCTAGTCTGTGAAGTCACTTTTTAATGCACATTTCAGCCTCATCTTCTGTTATATTCAATATGTGCGGGGGTTTGGGGTGTAAAGCATGACTTTTTATATAAGATCTGCCTTTTTAAGAGACAAAAATGTGTTCAGATTATTGTTGTTATGCTTGTGTTATGAGTTTTGGTCAAGATATTGATGCTTGTGATATATTTTGCATCTAAAATCTGCAGACTACCAACAGCTGATAGATGAAAAATTGTGGAGTAAAAGTATGAAGTGTTGCAAAAATGGAAAAACCATATATAACCAATAAAAGTACCATTGCCTCAAATTCAGTACAGTACTGTAGATTATTGAAACCTGTTGAATAAGAGACTTTTAAATGTATAAAATAAGTGTAAATGTATGCTTTTTGCAAATATTATGAGCTTCCATGTTGAAAGGTAGTGTTTAACTCTGTGATGGAGTTTAGAGCTGACATGTTTTTTTTATTAATTACTCTGAAGAAAGTTCATAGAGACTGAACTGTGTCCGTCAGCTGCTGGAGTTATTAACTGGCTCTCAGATTTTATTGCTGGTCATTATAAATGGTGAGGTCAGTCTATAAAAACAATAGTTTGGGATAATATTTAATGTTTATTACATTAGCGGCTGTCTGTAAATGAACAAATGTCAGCTCTTTGCCAGAATGTGTTCAGGAAACATGTGAGTTACACTGCTGGTTACCGGAGCTAAAGGACCTTAGCGCTGTGTTTCCATGTTTTGAAAGATTTGCATGAAGAACTGCAGGAAAGATTACTTTCTAGGTTAATTGGCTTTTACATAGAATGTGAAAAAGCTGAGAAATGACCCTCATAATGTCCCAGAAGGTGACAAAACTCAATTTACTGTCATTAACAAGGCAAAGAAAAGCAGCAACAACTCGTTTGAGAAGCTGGAACCAGCAGGTGTTCAGTATCTTGTCTTTTAAAATTGAATGAAACAATTAATCAACTTAATGCTTAAGCTTTATACATACACTTTACTCAGGGTCTGCAATCAATCAAAATATTATTGAAATCACAAATTATGTCCAAATGCAATATCCAAGACCCGGGAGCTGCAGTTTTTTATATAAGTAAAATGTGTCACAGGATACTGTTATAAGTGAAGCACTGTGGCTCTACAGAGATGCCTCGCCCGCAAAATCATATTCCAGACATAAGGGAACACGCTCGTTTGATACAGAGCCCAAAAAAAAATGACAATATCATAATTTCAATATTTTTTTCAGTGGAAATTAAATGCAAAAAGTCCTTCAGTATACCGCGTATTACTGCACTTTTTTGCAGATCACACCAAAGTAGTGTTGTAGTTTTTTCTTGAGTATATTTTCGTCTTCTTCCACTTTACGCAGTGAGAAATGGCTAAACTGTTGGACACTACTCATCCTCCATAGCCTCTGTCTCAAATGTGCCTCCACTGTCTCCACTCCACAGTAGGAGATTTTCACATGATGCTGTGTGGCGTCTTCAGAACCAGACCCTCAATGTGAAACACATGGAGACTCCAACAATTCACCGCTCATGTTTTTTTGTTCAGTCTTCTTTGACATATGCAGCACTGAGCCTTTTAGGTTTTACTGTAAAGCTGTTTCAGTTTTTGTGTCGCACGATAACTGCTGTTGAGAAATATTTCAAATCAGAGCTAGAATGTATGGAAGTTAATTAACGACAAAACTGAACAAATTCAAGCTGGCATCACTCTGAAAGTTTGTGTTTGATGTGTGTTAATTTACATAAATGTCTCCTTTGTTATAAAGTCAGGTTTTTAATGACAGAATCTGGAGGAAATTTACAGTAAATAAAATTTAAATACGTATTAGCTAATGGTGAGTTTAACAATAAAGCAGAAGCAAAATTCATGTGTGCATATGTGAGTGATCCAAAAAATGCCTGAACAAGTGATTATTCATGTTTGCAACTGTGCTTCAAGCATGATAGATTCAGTTTTATTTTGCCTGCAGGACGATGAATTTGTGTGTTTGTGTATTTGAGCAAGCAGCAGTGTTTCTTCTCTTCTCTGTGCTGACATCAGCTCGTTATCAGTCGTGTAAACTTCAACTTAAAACAAATTTCACCCACTAATGTTCATATTTAAACCTGTTTTATATCTTAAAACTAGTGCTGTCAAGAGATTAAAAAAATGGAGAGATTAATTAATTATGTTCTGTAATTAATTGATCTAATTAATCTCTTTTTTAATCTCATCTCAGAATTGCAGAGAAAAGCCCTCAACTTGAGGTATTTTCATTTAAATTCATTACATTATTGTGGCAGATGATCAAAAGATTGATATATATTACAAAAAGTGGTTTTATAAAGTCATAATTATTGTTTTCAACAATAACACACTTGAACACAGATGCAGTACACCTAGCCATTACATTCTATTGTTTTTGAGATTAGTCCCAATAAAGAGTGCTGTAACCTTCAGTCTCGACCACCAGGGGTGTTCTTGACTGTCATGACATGTCAGCTTCATTAAAAGTATAGCTGCAGATTAACGCAACAATAGATGTAAAAACACACAGAAACAACACATCTGTAATCAGTTCCCTAATTTTATTTTAACAATTTCTGAAATTATTTTCCTCTTTTCCAATTTCTCGTTTTATTTCATGGAAGTGATCAATGTAAGTGCACTTGTCCTTTAAACTTAATAAAAAATAAAAGCTGACAAAAGACACCTGGTACATTCGTTACAGCTGTATCAGTTTATAGAACAGTTTTGAACAGTTAGAACAAGAGGCTGCACTGCAACGTGCAAATCACTCCTTCTTGTGGCTGCCTGTGCTTTCCCTGTCCTTGCGGCTGCAATTTGCGCTGTCTTCTCTTCTTCAAACTACAACACCCATAATTCATGTAGGAACTGCTGCAGCCAATGTGCAGCCGGTGGGAGCTCAACCACAATGATCAGTTTTTAATGTTTTATCAGGCAATAACTACTCCAGACTCTGCTCTAGTGTAATTTTCGGGACAATCAGGGCAGGATTCAGGATTCAGGACAACTGCTTGGATTTCGGGACAGTCCAGAGATTAACGCGATCAAAAAACATAGCGCGTTAAATATGGCTGTAATTAATTATTCGCAATTAACGCGATAATTTGACATCCCTACTTAAAACCATGCGTAACATTTGGTTTTCAAAGATTCGATAACAGTTTGGACATTTTTTGAACACTCTTAATATGTTAGTCATTAATGAGCTTCCATACATCAGGCAGCTCTGTTTAATGTTACTGAAAGATCTACAGCAGCCTTCAAGGACTTCAGAGACTGAATTCACTACTATAGCCCCCTCTCCACCACCACCACCCCCAGTCCCACCCCCAGTCCCACCCCCCTTCTTCTGCAGCTCATCTGTTTTCTATTCAACCTTTTGGACTTTTTCCTGAGCAGGAAACACTGCAGAGTTCATTACATAACACTTGTATAGGAACCTGAAATATATCTGTGCAACTCAGAGGTGACTTCATCTGGCTTCAGTTCAGTTCAACTACAGAATAATTCACTCATCACAAACAGGAACAACAGTCTGTCAATTAAATGTAAATTGATCCAACTTTATAATTAATAATTCAGTTGGAACTTGTAAAGGATCTGGTTACTCATGTCAGATTGATAATCTTCTGTGTCTGCCTGTGCAGCATTTCCTTGCATCCCAATGTTTCATTGGATTACTCTGATAAAGTCCTTTCATCCTCTCTGGCCGGTCCTTAATCCCAGGTCGTCATACACCAACGCTGTGTCACGCGCCTTTGGCGTGTGATACTGACATCCGAGGCCCTTTCAGCTAACTCAAGTTTAAATCCATCTGCAGCAATATTTGACACTATGTGCGTTTACATGGAGCCATGTATTCCTTTTGCATTTGAGTTGGAATCCCTACCCGAATAGAAATGTTCCTTGTAAACACCTCAACCTGAATGAAAACAGCCAACCCCAAAGAAAATCTAATCGGGTGCACAGGGGTGGAATATTCCTTTTCAGAACCTGAATGGAAGAAGTTTTCTGTCTTTTATCCACCTTATTTTTCACGGAAACACGGAGGCAAAACAGAACGCAGCCAGCTTCCGTTTTTTTGTGCGACACTTTCGGTCCAGCACTCTTACCACTGTGTAAATGGGAATCCCCTTGTTGTTTACCTTGCTGAGTTTAGCTATATATATGTATATATCATATTTTTCACGTCACTATATCACCGTTTAGACTAATCTGATGTTTGTAAAGTCTATAAACACAATGACTGAACAAACATTAGTATTTTCTCTCTGTGTAATTAATAACATGGTTATCGTAGATTAGCTGGGCTCACCGTTAGCTGTTAGCCGTTAGCCGTTAGCCGTGTCTGTAATAACTCACTAAACTCCCAAAGTGGCCCGTGAAAAAAATATTTTCTCCAGCGGATGTCTTAGTTACAACATGATTGAGCTAATTGGAGTAGTTTCATGTCGTATCCGACAACGGGAGGCTTTTAACGGATGACGATCCTGATGTTAGCTTTGCTGCTAGTGTTAACGTTAGCTGTCCCCGTCAGTTGCAGCCACTGATGCTTTCTAGACATCGTGATTTCCCAAAACTGAATAAATACCACACATAGCAACACAAAACTGCTTTGCTAGCTCAATCATGTTGTAACGGCTGGATGGTTGAT